TTATGTTAAAATATAAATCTCAACCATATTGGCTGGAGACACTTGAATGGTCTCTGATCTTGATACTATTTAAATGTTAACTCTGGTACTGACTTATGGTCTCTGATCTTGTAAATCAATGATAAGTACTTTATTCTTGCTTTGTAAAAACTCTTGTTTAGGACTTTTTTTAAATATTGTAGTTAGTTTTGGTCTCTCTATTATATTTAAGTATTGAAAGGATATTCATTTGTTAAAGAGATACATTAAATAGTCATTATTATGATTTTTAATTTCATAGACATGGCTTATGAAGCAACATTTGAAGTCAGAAGGTAGGAAATTCTGTTTTTGGGTAAAGGTGAGATTCAGGTATTTATTATGGTGGTGTATTAAGTAATCTGCCTTTAAACAATCTGTCTGATATCCATATAGTGACAGGAATGTTATATGTTACTATTATAAGCATTGAAAGCCTAGATACAGGCTTTTCCTCAGCCAAAATTGCCAATTATTATGCATTGCTTGTTTGAAAAATATTTCATAGAAGAGTTTGCATTTCTTCATAATTTGGTTAGGAACAAAAGGCTACATGTATTTGCATTATCTACTGTTTATGAGTGAATTTGATAAGTTCAGTGGCTTTTTGTCATCTACTCGTTTCTGTGTTTCTAAAATCCTACAACCACTAATGAGGATGTGGTTGCAAGAGTCTAAGTACAGTAGAGGAAACTTTACATACAGTGATAATTGCATAATTGGGTGTTTTGCTTTCTATTTTTATAGATGTAACAAGGTTATTGACTTATGGAAGGAGTTACCATTGGCAGTAGTGAGACCAGTACTTTAAAGGAGTTTAAGAGGGGAATTGATGATTTCCTGAAAATTAAATGGTGAGTTTAAACTTTTACTTTTCTCAAGAGTGGGTGTACATGTGAGCTTGGAAGGACCAAATTGTTTTTTGTTGTCTGTATGTCATGTTAAAAGTTTGTATCTTCTGGGTCAGTTTTGTTACCTATATCTGTACGTAACTATGCTGTATATTTAAGATAAATAGCCAAAACAGGAAAGCATTCACTACAAGTAGCAAAATACCAACAGAGAATAACTGCCATTCCCCAAAAAAAAGGCTAATACAATAATACAGTTTTACACATAGTTTAATCTTAAATTATTTAATAACTTTAAAACATTCAATCACACAACATGTAGAATACTTAAAAATGGGCCAACAGTGACCTAGTGGTTAACATATTCAGACTTTGAATCAGAGGATTTACGACTTGTATCCTGTTGCCAAAAAAAAATCTCTCCATATACTTTACAGCTATTGATGCACTATAAATGGTGGTCAAATCTCAGCATTCGATGAAACAAGAGTTAGGGGTGAGTGCTGTTGATTAACTGCTTTTCTACTAGTCTACCAGTTGAAAATTAGGGATTGCTATGTGCAAACAGCTCTACTGTAGCTTTGCACAAAATTCTCAAATAAACTTTAAGGAATAAAAAAAAGACATTCTTCTCCTGTAACACAACCAGACAGCAGAGGTTAAAGAGATGAAGCATTACTCATTCAATATATTAGTATTTACAAAAAATAAATAAAACAAAAACTTCACACACTTGTTGCATCATTCATTCAATGATTTCATAATTTCCTCAAAGGCTCCCATGACCCTTGGGATGCCAGACACAGTCGAGATCACTTACATTAGACAACTGGTACAACACAGGTATGTGTTCAAATGTTAACTTAAAAGTAGAGAAACCTCACAATGTAATTGTTAGACTAATAAATACTTTAATATTCATGAATGATTATATAGCATACAAAATACTTGCCTTTTATTACACGTCGGTATAGTCCTTATATTTATAAACAATGTCTTATAGCAAAGTAACATATTTTAATTTGGTAAAACAACTTACAAAGTATGTGAATATTTGTAGATATTATTATATATACATATATATTTCATTTAAAATAACATACAGAAACTAACTTTGATATAAGCTAATATACAAAAAGTTCTATAACATGAACTGTTTGATAATTAAAATTGCAACATTGTTAACAATTATAGTTTATACTATTATTAATCACGGTTGCCATTAGCGACTGTTTACCATAATGAAAAAGGCCTAACTGTTTAAGCTTTTAACTTTTAAAACTTACGGTAATTATGGGCTGATAATGTCAAATAATAATTAAAAGAAATATGGCCATAAGGTTGGGTAATTCCTATTTACCATTGCTCCGGCTCCAATGGAAGCTATAATATTTCTTCTTTCCCCTAATTCCAACCATTCTGGACGGTTGAATTGCACGTTATCTAAACAACCAGCCATGTTGAATTTGCGCTTGCTTCGATTACAAAATCCACATTTTCAAAAGCACATAAAAATTATATTTGATTATTACATTGTATTTAACTTCATGATTAAACGACTAGTACTATTTATTTTCTTATAATCTTTGAATATTCACTTAGATTTTTACTAAGTGTTCAGAATTATTCGACATACAATCGAAAATGATTGTATTCATTTTTTATGTTTTTTCTCTCTCCTCTGTATGTTTTAGATTTTTAGTCATACTTCAGATATTAAGCAATATTACATGGAATCAGAACTTAATTTACACTATCGAATATTAAAGTATCACTAAAGATGGCGTTTGTTTTTCTTTCAAATGTTGTTGTTGCTTTTCTTATGACATATTAAACACTGTTCTGACCTAGAATAACCTTTTCTACCATACATCATATCCGGGAAACTCGATAGCCATACAACAATGGCAATAGCCAAACAGTTTAACTATGGGATTGACTGATTTATTGAAAGAGATTTTCTAGAACAGTACTGTTCAGAAATAATGAGAGAACCAAGTGTCATACAGAATGCAGACGTACATCTAGGAACCTCAAAATAAAAATTTGAACAATAATAGCTCGAAAACAAGTGGTCATATAAATTGCAGACATACACCGTCGAATAAATGACCACTGAAAAACTCATCTTCCTTCACGTACAACCGCATACGCACACGCTTAAAAGCCAAATTTAATGTTGCATTGGTGCTTTATCCAATGCTGTGGTTATTGTCCACCAAAAATTACATATTTAGAACTACATATAAGTACGTATTATAATTAATTGAATCGAGTTATTATAATCTCATTTCAAGTATACAATTGTAAATTTGTAAAGAAGTTTCAGTATGGAAGTATATTATGCTAATATAATAATAAATAGGCAAACAGCGACTTATAAATATTGTTGCGTCATCGAGGTCACGTGACTGGTGTGGCGCCCTCTAGTTTCTAGAACTATCCTGTACTTTGGCGAATGCTCTAGTATTTACTAGATATAGGGTAGTCGGGTATATATAAGAGGGGGACAATGTGACGCGGTAATGTAATGTGTGTATAGACAGTGAGTAATTGAACTGCAGTCAGAGAGCACGAGAGACGTTACAGCGTTTGTTTAGCGCGATTGTTGAAGTTGAGTGTATCAGTAAAGTTATATTCGGAAAGAATAAACCAGTTTTATTAAGAAAGGACTTGTGTCGTTAAAGTTTCGTCGGAACGAAGTTACGGAAAGTTAATTAACAAACGGAGACGTAACAATATAATGAAGTGTTGTATTTTTGGGGGAACATACTACATATTTCGATAGAACAGGGTAATACAGTTTAGTTCTAACTATCTAGGTGAAAGTAAGGAATGAAGTAAGTTTGTGTCAAGTATTCTACAGCCTCCTATAAGCACAAAAGGTATTGAATGCTGTCTTGGATTAAGTTAACCCATGATATTTTGTAATTTCTTATAATGTTTCAGCGTTTTTTTTTTTTTAATTTACTTATTGACATCCGAACGTTCTTTCAGCTTTATCTATGGCATAATAAAAACCTTGCTGCATGAAAATTAATTGTTTACAAAATAATTTAAATTTTCATATACTCTGAGAAAGTAATACATGAAAATACCTGTAACTTTTATTTATTTAGTTTTGTTTCAAGTACTTTCATCTTCATTGTGAACCATGGGTAAGTGTATTTGTCTGTGTACCTTATGGGGTATTCGACTTCTACTAATTATAACTGTTACTTATGGATCACTAGTAAAGCTGAGAGCATGATAGAATTCAGAATTGAATACTTACGAAATTGAGATTTTTCAGAATCTTTTGTCGAAACCAATCCTTTACTTCCTTTATTACCTATACTTTTTAAAACAATTATATTTGCTCCCTGACATTAAAATCTAACATATATACTCTGTTTACAAAAATAGTGAACGTTTTATTTCAATATGCAATAAGTAATGCTATAATTTTTTCCAATCAGTATATTAATTACTAAATAAAAACGTATATAATTTTCGACACTATATGATATTTTACTATAGTCTGACGTTGTGTTGTGTTTATTTGTTGTTTTGTTTTTTGTCGAAGTGCGTCACCTATATATGAGCGTTTGTATTTCGGCGGGAATTGGAATTTTGTGATGATAAATTCAAACGTTTGTTTAGTTTTAAACCTCGTTAATTATATAGACTATTATAGTGTGTATAGATACATCTATACAGAACCATTGTAATTTGTTAACGTTCTTATGTAATGCTATAGTTTTTTTATGTGGGAAAATAACTTAGCAATGTAAACTTGTAAGTTATATACAAATATGAATTTTATGTTTCGTTGGTAAGTAAGATATCACTGTCTCATGATACTGCATAATTAATTTTAAATTCAGTTTGATAACTGTACTTTTAATTGTATAGTACCTAGAAATAACTTAATAAGTTAGTGATACTTGTAGTCTTAGTAACGTTACACTAATAGTAATACTGCTACTAGTTTGTACCATAAGGAGTGATAGTACAGTACTAGATTATCATGGCATTGGTAGATTTATAATACTTTTAATAGTTTATTAATACTGAGTTTTGAAATTGAAATGTAAACAATGGCTCGGCTCCAAGTGCTAGCAGTTTAAAATTTAAATTAAACTTATAGTTTAAACTTGTAATACAATATAGCACAAGAGTTTCAATTCCTGTCTGTTATCTATGTAATTTTAATATTATCAAACTTCTATTCTAAGTAACTTAAGTTATAGTAAGAATTAATATGCTTAATTTTTAAAATTACATTAGCATCAATTCTTGACCTTAACTTTTGAAGGCACTAGAAAATGGCTGGTAGTTTTTTGTTTTGTTTTTTTCCACTATCAAATTCAGGACTGGGACTGGTGCTAACAACAACATAATTCTCTAAGGTTAACTGTAATTGTGTCATAATCAATTATTTCATAAATTAAATGTTAATAGATATGTATGTATATATATATATATATACACACACACACTGAGTGGTCACAAGTAAATAGACACCTAATTTTTCATCATTTAACTGATTTATACTAACTAATTTGTGTTCACAGAGCACTATATAAATGAAAACGGTCCACACACTAATTATCTTGTGCTACAACATGCTTAGAACTCAAGGTTCTCTCGAATTGTCAGATTTTGTTAAAGGAAGGATAGTTGGTCATGCAGATGGTGGAATAAGTCAGCGGCAAATTTCGCAGAATTTGGTAATCCCGCTTTCTACAGTCAACAGAATCACCGTGCAATTCAGGAAACACGGCAAGGAAACAACTGAGCAGCGTCCTGGTCCATCGGAGAGGACAAAAAGGGCTGTCAAGAGGAGTATCGAAATGGATCCCAGATTAACGACTGCAAAAGTGGACAAAGTTGGTGGGATGAGCCCAAAATCTGTTCGACGGATTCTCCACAGATTGGGTTATCATTGCAGAGCAGCTAGACAGAAGCCCTTATTAAGACATGCCAACATAGTCAGATGAAAGAAGTGGGCAAGTGATATGATGACCAAGCCTCTGGACTCTTGGAAGACTGTATTGTTCTCAGTCGAATCAAGATTCGTTCAATTTTCAATCAGTGGAAGGATATGGGTCTGGAGAGTGCCTCACCAAGAGTTTTGGCTCAACACATTGCAGCCAACTGTAAAGCATTGTGGTTTCAGCGTGA